AATCTTTAAGATTATTTACAACAGAACAGCAATGCATTTTATGGACGACCGTTTCGTGAACCTAGGAGAGGAGGTCATTCTGACTTTGCTATGACAATCTGGTGCTTCTGAATCAGCTACTGTTTTGTTATTAGTTTGAGTATTTGCTATTTGACTGTTCAAATGCGGAGTTTTGCGCATCGTGTGTGTGTTTCTGTGTGAGAGAGAGAGAGAGCGCGAGAGAGAGAGAGAGTCTTAAGTTCTAAGACAGGGAGTCAGCTGTCTTAACCGTGGCTTGTGTACTGCACACATACCAGCTTCATCACTGTGTCTGTCACGCGACTCTGTTCCCCTTTCGGGCTCTGTCTTTACATTTATTTTGAAAGATGAAGCTCGTGATTATGGTAAGGGGCGTTACATTTCCGACGAGTGCTTGCGGTGTTCGGTCAATCACAATGCACTGGGTCAGCTGGCCAATCAGAGCAGACTGCGCTTGTCGGAAGGAGGGACTTTGTAGAAAACGAAGCGTTTGAGAGAGGCGGGGCATAGAGGACCTACAATAATGTACAGTATTTGAAAAATTATGTGTTTTTTGAACATTAAAGCATGTCAACATATTCTGTTACACCAAATACACAAAATAATGATCTTTAAAAAAGCATCATATGACCCCTTTAACATTTTCTAAAAACACTGGCGCTGCGTGTTCAGCTCCTCCAGGTTCCACCCCAATTCCCTTTAAATCCCAGTATCCCTCTGTATCCTTATTTAACCTTCAGATATACTCTCCCTTCTACCCACACTATATCAGCATCTTCTACCTCTCTATATATACTTATCCTACATTCTCTTCATTAAACCTGTATTATTCAGAAACTGAAAACAACACATTTACCGTACTACTTCCTATATCTGAGTCTAATATATTCTTTAATGTTAACTCTTTTCCTTCATTCTCCCATACTTCGTCTCTTAGCACTTCTCTTTCTTCATCATAACCCTTACAATTAATAATCACGTTCTACAGTTTCACTCTGTCCACATTTCTCACACAATCCCGTTGGATGTTTAGATATTAAATGTAATGTTTTATTCAAATCTGTATGTCCCATTCTTAGTCTTGTAATTATAATTTCCTCCCTCCCATTTCTCCCACTTTCTTTTGTATTGCATAGAAATGTCTCCCTTTGTCTCATTATCCCAATAGGCTACTGTTGCCACTTTTTAATCACTTTCTCCTTTATTACTGATTTTATTTCTCTTATGCTGTGTGATAGCTCAATTTCTACTATTTCATCATCTGCTTGCTTAGCTAATTTATCTGCTTCTTCATTTCTTTTCATTCCCACATGGGCTGGAACCCACACAATCTGTACTTCTATTCTACTTTGTTTTAACTCAAAGAGATTTTGAAGGATTTCCATGATTAAATCTGGCCTCGATTCTGATTTTTGGTTATCAATACTGACTATTGCTGAATATGAATCTGAACAAACGACCGGATTTTGTATTTCTCTTTCCTCATTAGTTGTACTGCTATGCTTCCGGGGTTGAGCGTGAACCTGAGGTACATGGGAAATTGAGTTTTGTTTTATGTTTGTTCGTTTTTCCCCCTCAAATAATCGTTCTTTTAATCGCATTTAAACAGTATAACTAGTGATGGGAAATCGAGGCTTTCTGAACCGTTTGAGGTTTTCATGAAATTGTGCCGAAAAACGGTTCATTACTCGAAGATTTTAACACAGTGCGCATTAGTGACATCTGGTGGTCAGACTTGGTTTCTCCGCCAAATCTAACAAAACATCGCGAAGCAGATGATGGTTTGAAAACGTTTTTAATCTGTGCCAACTCGTGTCATGCGTAGTCCGGTCAATGGAGTCACATATTGATCAATAATATAAAATATACAAGTGTGTGATTATAATTAATAATTGACGTGAGTAGTAGCAAAATATTTTGGGTGAGCGCAATAGAAGTGTAACGTGCATTCAGTTTCTGTCCTGGTGTTGAGGTTATTCTAAACTATTCTACTGAATCCCAAATAAGTGTGCACACACACACACCCAAGTCGATGTAAAGTCAAGCACAAGAGTCATGCATAGCGCCGACCTTCAGATACTGCATTCAAACGCCATCAATCACGCGGTATGGATATTTCGATACAAGCATCGGCATATGAGGTGTTCTTCGTGACTTTTCAAAGGCTTAGCAGGAGAATAATTAGCAGTCGCCATAATAGGCATAGTGTGTGATATAATAGTACTTTGAAAACTGAGTCGGAGCATCGGTATCAATCGTCCCATCACTAATTATAACAATACTACAGACTGAGAACAAATTTAAACAACATGTAACGGATGTGGAAGAACACACACACACGGGGTTTCTTCAGCTTTGGTTTATCTTTTTGGGGGAAAAAGTAGAATAAATCACATTGGCTGAAGACAATACTGCAGATATATATGAAAAACTAGAAAAATTGAAATTACACCCTCAACTCATAATACAATTAATTGTCAGAAGGTTTAAGACAGACTAATGACCTCGTTCCTACTCGTGTGACGCAGGAGGAAATTCAATACATGTATAACTATTTCAACAACAGTGTTAAAGTGTCAAATGTATTATAAACATATACATAAATGCGATCAATTGCGTCGAAAACATTAACTTAAAACATATATCTTCACAATTAATACGTTAATGAGACGAGAAGGGTCTGGCTGCAGCCTCGCACGTGCACTCTCAGACTTGCACTCTCAGACACTTGCACTCTCAGACTTGCACTCTCAAGACACTTGCACTCTCAAACTTGCACTCTCAGACACTTGCACTCTCAGACACTTGCACTCTCAGACTTGCACTCTCAGACACTTGCCCTCTCAGACTTGCACTCTCAAGACACTTGCACTCTCAAACTTGCACTCTCAGACACTTGCACTCTCAGACACTTGCACTCTCAGAC